ACAACCAGTAATCAGAAGGAGCAATATCCGGAGAATACGGCGGGTGCGGTAAAACATCCCATTTGAGCGTTTCCAAATATTTTTTTATGACATGAGGCCGAGTGTTGTCATGAAGAAGAATAATTTTATCATGTCTTTGCTTGTATTCCAGCCGTTTTTCTCGCAATGCACAGCTCAAACGAATCCATTGTAGCCGATACCGATCGCCCGTAATGGAATCACCAGGTTTCAGCAACTCATAGTAAACAAGACTTTTGGTCCCATCAAATACAGAGCATGATCTTCGAATCATGAATGTTCGGCCGTGGTGTTGATGATGAGGTCGATGGCAACGATTGACTGGACTTAGCATAATATTTTTTCTTCTTGGGGTTGTCGTAGAATATCCACTTCTCATCTCCAGTCACAATCCGATGCAAAAAACCTTTTCTCTGTTGTCTTTGAATCAGCTGTTCGCAAATGAAAAATTGCCTTTCAACATTTCTCGGTTTCAGCTCATAAGGCACCTTGTTTTTGAATCATTTCCATGGTTCTCAATCGTACAAAAACGGCTTGTTGAGTTACCCCCAATGATTCTGCAAGCTCCTCTTGCGTTTGACTCTGATTTTCGAGTAATGCCTCTAATTCTTTGTCTTCGAATTTTTTTAACTGTCCAGAGCGAGGCTTGTCTTCGCTGAAATCTCCATCCTTGAAACGTCGAAATCATTCCCTACATGATCAATTGGAGCAGTGTCACCATAAACTTCGACAAGCATTCGATGGGCTTCAGTCGCACTTTTCTTCCAATTAAAGCAGAAAATCAAAACCTGCCGCAAATGCTGCTTGATTAACACAAAATTCGACATTTCAAACACAATAAAAATCAAGGTTTTTGTATGAAACTCAAAGCGATATAAACTGAATATTATTAGCAGATGTTTAATCTCTCTGAAACCGCCAAAATCAGCTGTCACTATGAACCATTCACAACAGCTGGAGCCATCTTTAGGGAAATGGACCAAACTAATTTGTACTCCCAATATGATTTATAAAAATTTTCAACATTTTAATAAAATTAATGATATAGCGTAATTCATTTTAATTCATTCTACTTATGAAAGGATATTAACATATAGACAATATAATTTCGAAATATGTTACAAGGATACATATAAGTCCCATTTCATGTATAACTAGCTTTTAAATCTATTTGGTAATAAAGTCTCTAATTCGCAAATGAGTCGTGCATTATTTCTAAAAAAATTTTATTAAGTAAAAATATAATATTCAGATTTCTATTTTCATCAAGTATAAGAGAATCAAGTATAATTTAATCAAAAACAATAATATTGTATTATGTCGAATAATATTATTAACTATTGCAGTAATAAATTTCAAATTTTACTGTAATAAAAAATTTAAGAGTTAAAAATTTAGTATTAAGAAGTATTAAAAATTTTTTTTTATCTCATAGAAAAATATTTATATATGCATTTGTTGAATGTGAAATATACGAATAATAATAAAACTAAAATAATAACTTAAATATATATAAAATTTCTTTAATTTATGAGAAATAGTTTATAATTATGATAAAATATTTATTGAATTATTTGAATCGAATTATGAACAAAATGGAGCTGATGTGAACCTGGCGCCCAACTTTATCAAAAATAAAAATTAATAGGATGTTTATACTTGTTTGTACCGCTCATTATTTCGTTGTACCTCAAACAGTTAAACAAAAAGTGAAAAATAAAAAATGACTAGCACGCAATGTTAAGATTTTTTAACTTCATTTATGCCATTCGAAAGAGAATCGTTCATACCCATTTGTACTTTTATTTTCGTTTGTACTTTGAAGGGTTTATCTTTTATTGTAATGTTGTCTTATTCTGGTTTGTTACTGGTAAACTTTGTAACAGCAATTCTGCTGACGCCTAACCTTTTGCAAGCTTCTATTGTCTATTTACTTATGTTTATGTTAATCTATAGTCTATTGTATCATATACTTTATGTCTATTACTCTATTAATATGTAGTCTTTTTCATATAGCTTTGCAATAAACTAAATTAAATTATAAAATTGGAAACAAGACTCTTTTATATTAATATTACATTACTTTAAATACGAAATACCACTATCTAAATGTTAAGATATTGAATTATTATTTATATATTCATATAAATAAATTAATTTCAGAAATGGTAATTGCGTGCCGATATGATTGTCAGATTTTCAACACAATCCATCTGAAATATTAATGCCCCAAAGTTCTCAAATTTAATCTTAAAAAACTGTAATAAACTTATTGTGAAAAATATTGCCTCGGCCGGGAGTCGAACCCGGATCTCTTGCATTCCGTGCGAGTGTTCTAAGCCTTTAGATTACCGAGATCTTAGCAATATTCTTCGCATATTTCCAATCTTATTGTTTATACACGCTCGCCTACAATGCGTAATTTTTTATCGGTTATTGCGAAGAATATTGCTACAGTCTCGGTGTGATCTAAAGGCTTAGGACGGCATTCAAAAGAGAATCGTTTGTATCTCTTACTTTCATTTGTATCTCAAAGGATTCGGAGATACAGCGATTTCAAAATTTCGGAAATGCGTCAAGAGGGAAAATCGGCCATTTTTAAAGATATCGAAATGAGACCAACGGTATTCGAAAGAGAATCAGATACGATTCTTTTTCGAATACCATTGATTCCATTTCGATATTTTGAAAATTGGCTAATTTCCCAATATAGCAATTGCGCAAAATTTGAAAAGCGCTGTACCATCTTGATCAAAAAATTCCCGGAATTACCATCAGGTGATGCTCTGAGTCAGTTGATTTGAGTTCTGTTTTTTTGGTTAGGTTGCCACATCTATCATTGACATTCTCACCAAATTTTATCACCAGCTTGACATTTGTAAAAGTTACGCCGTCTTGAGTACATCTACCTCTGCACGTATTTTCGTTTTTGGATTTGTGGGCAAACAATTCGTGGATTTTGCACCATGATAACGCACCGTCGCACAGTACCATCATTATCCGTGAATTTTTTATCAAGAACGAAACGAATACCATCCAACAGCTATCGAATTCACCTGATATGGCTCCCTGCGATTTTTTTCTGTTCGATCGAGTCAAAAAACCATCACGGAGAACGCGTTTTAACACCGAATGGAGGTAATGGAAAAATCGAAGACGGCTATACCGACAATAGAGTTCCAGAAATGTTTCGAGAGCTGGATCAAGCGCTGGCATAAATGCGTTGCGGCCGATGGGGAGTACTTTGAAGGGGACAATATCACTTTTGATAAAACTTGTATTTTGAATTTTCTGAATGTATTCCAGGAACTTTTTGATCAAGGTAGTACAAACGAAAATAAAAGAGGTACAAACGATTTTCTTTCGAATGGCATAAATGAATTTTAAAAAATTTTAAAGTTGCACGCTGACCATTTTTTATTTTTCACTTTTTGTTTAACTGTTTGAGGTACAAATGAAATAATGATCGGTACAAATAAATACAAACGAAATACAAACGCTTACAATATTAATTTTTATTTTTGATAAAAATTAAAAAGTAGGCACCAGATGACGGGCGCGTCCAGCTATGCTGCTGTTAGAGATATTGTTCATTTTCAATTTTTTATCTCTACAATTTTTTTACTTCTTATCGATGTAAAAATCAATTTCCGCGCCTCTCATTACACTATCTACTTTATTTTCTTATTTTAATATGTTATACTTAATACACTTCAAATGTCATTCGTTCTTTGTGTCGTATATTATAATTGAGAAATTATTCCATACAACACTGTCTTAAAGGATATAGGACGTCTATATCATAAAGATGCCTTCAAGATGCTGCTCGGAAAATTATGTTCTATGAAACTTTTTAAATAGAGATACTTGAAATATTATTTTGATTTCATTTCTTTTTTTATGATATTATCTCTGGTATCTTTTTTCTGCAAAATATACTTGACGCTTTTTTTTTACATTTTTAATGTCTTATCTGATAGAGATTTTAATTTATCCGAACTCGCGTTTTAGAGTCCGCAGCTGGATCGAAATGAATTGAAATAAATTGATATCTGAGTACACACTGAGTACACAAACTCGTTTCTGTTCATGAAATGGATAGAAAATAAAACAACGACTTGAAAATAAATTCCCTATAAATTCTTTTGATTTTACAACATTTATAATTCCTTCTTTATAAATATAACACTATTTTTATATTCATTTCGATTGAAACAGGAATTCTATTCAATACTATACTCTGATATAAATTCAGGACTTACATATTTTCGTCATAGCTTTTTTTATTAAACAAAAATGTATTTTCATGCAATTTTGAACTGTGATGTATTTACCGCTTATACAAATTATATTGAAATTTTTTTAAATTGAAGTGAATTCAAACGAAACTATTCTTATTCATAATTTTGAATTGGGATGTATTCATGTGGCTAACTTATATTTACGATACATAAGTATTTTTAGACTCAAATGGATAGAAATGTGCTATTCATTATGTTGAATTTGGATGATTCATGTTTGTATTATATTAGTTTTTGATTGAAATGAATTAAGATATGGAGGAATTATTCATTATGTTGAATTCATGTATTCATGTATTCAAATAGATTCGAAAAATCAGAAGCGCAAATTCGGAAATGTTGACATAAATTCATTTCTATCCATTTCAATTTATTCTCATTTACACTTTATAGTGACAAAAACATGTATTAATGTATTAAATGTTACTAAAAAGTAAACAAAATTGACTTTGTGTTGACTTGACATTCTTTAAGCGCTTTTATTTATAAAAGAAACTTGTACATTATGTAATGATTCCTTTAAAGTTGTGCAACTTTTGTATAAATACATATAATTTTTCGTATAACTTATAATTTATAAGCTTTTCGAGATGTGCAAGTTAGGTGCCTCATCTCCTGTATATGAATATAAATTCTGTCAGAGTGAAATATCACTGTAATCTAATCTAATTTCTGATACAGGTAACAGTTACCAGCAATATGATGCAATTGGCCTTCATTACACAAAAAGCGAAACGAATGAATCGCCGACGGCTCCCACCGTTTGATTATCTGCGTAAGAAATATGGATTTTGGTCGCAGTTGTTTGATCCGATGGTTGATCGTTGCGATGAGAATTCCAAGGTGATCGTCGTCGAGGGTCCGATCGCTGCAGGAAAATCTAAGGTGGCCGCGAAGTTGGCAGAGGAATTTGAGATGGTTTATCTACCACCGCCGACCTTCGATGAGTATTATATAAATGAGTATGGATATGATATACGTACACTGGACGACAGATTGTCTGTGGGCTCACAATCGTGTGACGTGCAGAAATTTCTGACAAATCCGTATCATATCAATGTGCCCATGTTTCAATTTCATTATTTTCAATTTAAATTTGATCAGTACATCACTGCTCTACTCCATTTGCTTTCGACTGGCCAAGGAGTGGTACTCAACCGTTCTTTCTATACTGATTATGTTTTCGCGAAAGCGATGACAAACGCTGGTTACATGCGTTCAGAGATATTAAAATTTTACAACGATATCGTAAATATCGCCAAGTTACAGATGTTGAGGCCTCATTTAATCATTTATTTGGACTTATCTGTGGATATAGTTATGGTAATTTCAGTTTATTAATATAAATGACATACGCGATTGTTTACTTTTTCTCTTTCTCTATATTCAAAGAATATTCAAAGAATATTCTGTCATCTTCTATCGTATTAATATTTGCAGGAAAAAATAAAAAAACGTGGTATACCGTACGAAATAAATTCGAAAGTTCTTACTTCAGAGTATCTCCAAGATATTGAAAATATATACAAATTGGATTATTTGAAAAATATTATATCACATTCTCATGTGCTAGTCTATGACTGGACAAACGAGGGAGATATTTCTTCCATAGTCGAGGATATTGAAATGCTTAATTTTGATTACGAGGATAAAACAGCTAAAAAAATGTCTGATTGGAGATTTGAAAACGTTCAGGAACTTCGAACTAAAAGGAAACATTATGAAAATAGATATTTCTTACATACAGATTATTGGAGAAATGAATATTCACTACCAGAATTGCATTATACAGCTGAAGAAATGAAAGAAAAGTATGAAGCAATGAAAATGGTATGTATACGTATGTATATCTATATATCGGTTATCTCAAAATTTACAAATTAAAATATTACAGTAAAAAAATTTCCAAAAATTAAGTAAACAATATTAAAAAATAAAAAGACTATAAATCAAAGCTGTTGAGTGCTAATAAATAATGTCTTATTTCTGTTATATAGGATGCCTCTTTTTCGAGCATCTGAAATATCTCGTTCTTGGTTTCTGTAAGAAAAAATGTTTCAAATAAAATAATTCAAGAAGGACGTATTTGGAAGGACGTTTTTTTCTTGAAGGAGGTGCCAAAAAGATGTGAAGATCACTTTTTTAAATGGAATTGTATTTATTAAATGGTATTGTATGATTTTTTTTTACACAATATGATTCCTCTAATTATTCTGCATATAAAAGTATTCAGAAATATAAAAAAATTAATAGTTTACGAGATACTTTATTCTGGCACATATTGACATAAAATGTTATTAAATAACTGGTAAACTAATAATTTCTTGACAATTATATATATTTATTATATATATCAATATTTTTATGAAAATAGAAAAATTAGATGAAGTAAAAAATTGAAGTAAAAAAAATACATATGTAGTTGCTTTAAAAAAATATGTATGTAAAATGTATTTTTTTAAAGTAAGCAATTATGTATTTTCTTCATACTAATTGATTTATCTTATTATATTATTTATAAAAATATTAATATTATTACAATTATAAAAAAATTAAGTCTCCAAGTTATTTAATATTTTATGTGCAAGAGTAAAATATAAAATATCTCGTAAACTATTGATTGATATCTCTACCCAAATTCTTTCATATGCAGAATTGAGTGCTAATAATTGACAGCTTAATAAATAAATAGTAAAACTGCAGAAAATCGTCGATGACCTTGACATATGTTGTTAAGGTTATGACAAGCAATCTCCAACAAATTTTAGTTGTCGCTCGTTATTTGTTAAAAAGTTTGAAAAAATAACATTTTATTTCTGCTTAGGGACGCACAACTTCCACGCAAAGAAATTCCCATCCCATCTCCCCCCCTCCCCTCTGTTTAGAGGCACACAACTTCTACGCGAAGCAATTCCCATTCTACCTTCACGCTTCGCATGGAAATTGTACGCTCCCAAACAGGTGAGAGACGCTTCGCGTGGAAATTGTGCATTCCCAAACAGGGAAGGGGTGAGGTGGGAGTCACTTCACGTGGAAAGTTATTACGTAAGCAAGGAAGAATATAAGATAGTTTAGACATTTGAATTCGGGACACCCTATATAGCAGATAAAACATTATTTTTTCAAACTTTTTTGTTAATAACTTTTTAACGAATAACGACTAAAACTTGTTGGAAGTTGATCAGGATCATGACCTTGACAACATATGTCAGAATCAAGGTCGTCGGTTTTCCCCTCTTCTGCAATTTTACCAAATAAATAATTAGAAGAATTATTGTGTAAAAAAAAATCATACAAATCCATTTTAAAAAGTGAGACCTTCATATCTTTTTGACGCTTCCATCTAAAAGAAAAATAACATGACTGAAATGTCCACTTCGAAATCTTTTTTCCTTATAAAAATCACGTGGAATATTTTAGATTCTTGTTAAGAATACTGATTAGGGATACTGATGAGCGTAAGATTTTTCACACGAAAAGAAGTCCACCTCACCTCCCTCGTTGCTTAGGGGCGTATAACTTTCCAAGCGAAGCGACTTCAATTTCATCTCCCTCTGCGGAGCCTACGACTTTTCTCACAAAACGAGTTCTATCCCATCTCCTCTCCTGTCTAGGAGAAAGGCGATTGTCTCTTAGCTGGGGAGAGAGAGAGATGGGCCTCGCTTTGCGCGGGAAGTAATGCGCTCCTAAGTAGAGGAAAAAGTGATCTAAACTTCACTTTGCATGTCGTACGCCCCTTGGCAGGTGGAGAGGTGGAGTGAACCCCGTTTCGTGTAGAAACTTTTAAGAGGGCAAAAAACATACACTATGATAAGTCCATATCCGTGTACACTTGCACATGTGTTGTGTGTCTGTTTATGCTCTCTTCATATTAATAACCGTGCTGCAAGAAATGTGTGGTCCAGAATTCATGTCACTAAGAAAGTGCGACACTACATAGGAGGGAGGAAAGTCTCCCTTCGCGTGGAAAGTCGAATGTCCTTAGACAGGAAGAATATAAAGTACTTTTTAATATTGTATATGGTAGAAACAAGATATATTTTAACTTTCTTTGTTAATAACTTTTGAACGAACAGTGACCACCATCTAAAATCTTTTGAAAATCACTCCTTAGGTAATGACTTTGACTCAGGATCATTGAAAAGATATCCCTTAATTAGGAATGAACTAAACGGTTATTTTTCATTAATGATTATAATAGTTATTGTTGCTTCAAAATAATTAGTATTTAAACAATTATTTAACGGTTATATAAAACAGTTATTTTTTATATTAGGTGTACAACTTTGCTTCCGCCGTTTTTTTCCGAAATTCGAGACTTTATTGTAAAAAACTGGTTATACATTTATGATTCAAAATATTGTCCATCGCTGGCCACTACTTTCTCCCATCTTTCGGGTAGCGTACGAATCCCGCGTCGAAAAAACTGGTCATCTTTTGAGGCTATCCACGAATCGATCCAATTTTTTTTACTTCTTCATAAGAATAGGAAGTGCTGGTCAGCCAGGCCGTGTGCCATTGATCGAAACAAGTGATAGTTAGAGGGAGCAACGTCTGGAGAATACGGTGGGTGGAATAGGACTTTCTATTCAATTTTCAACGTTTCCAAGTATGTCTTGATCACTTTCGCAACATGGGGTCGAGCATTGTCATGCTGCAAAATCACTTTATCGTGTCTCTCGTTGTATTGCGGCCGTTTGTCTTTCAATGCTCGGCATCAATTGCGTTCGATACCGATCGCCTGTGATTGTTTCAGTCGGTTTTAACAGTTCATAATACACATACGCCGAGCTGGTCCCACCAAATACAGAGCATGACCTTGGACGTCAAAATCACCGTTCTTGAAGCGTTGAAATCACTCACGACACGTTCTTTCACTAATAGCGGCCTCACTATAAGTATTTGAGAGCATTCGATGAACCTCAGTCATAGATTTCTTTATATTGAAGCAAAAAATTAAAACCTCCCGCAAATGACGAGAATTTGGCTCGTAAACTGACATTTTCAATCGAGAATAACTTTATGATGCAGACACAAATCGACTAATGTTTCTATGGGGTTATGTTGACAGATGCCCAAGTTTATTGTATGACGTCTATGATCTATTTATTTCGACCACCACTTACCGCTAAAGCCATCTATAGGAAAACGGCGGAAGCAAAGTTGTACACCTAATAATATCCTATATCCTAGTCAATAGTCATCTTTTTTGAATTATTTCTCATTATTTAAGTCATTTAATAAATCTATTTTGAAATATTTCATTATTTAAAATATTTGTGCAAACAAATAAATATATAAGTGTTAAATTTTATGCATAAAGATTGATGTCAATTTAGTGATGAGTAAGATCAATATTACATGCGTCCGTTTTTTATTGTACGATGAATTTTTCAAGCGTGTTAATTGGCTGCAAGACAAAGAGGATTCAAACCTCTTTGTATTGTACTCAATCAAGGGTGATGTTTCACTTGTGTGTTTTTGTCGACGTGTTTTTGTACGACTTTTTTAAGCCTGTTGATTGGCTATGGAATAGAGATCCGAAGATACATATTTGTACATCAAGAACGTGCAAATGAAATAGCAAGTTTGAAAAATTTGTCGCACAACACAAAACGGATGCATGTAATATTGACTTATTATAGCGATAACGCCGACAGCGCTTCTACTGATAAATAATAAGATCTTAAACAATACTATTTATTAACATTACTTTTATTTATTATAAAGTTGAAGATGAGAGTACATCCCTAAAGGGGAGTTGGGGGTTAAGAGTCGTGCGCCTCTGAAGCAGAGAGGAGAGGGGAGGGATGAGAGTCGCTTCGTGGATAATAAGAAATTGCGTAAAAATTGTGGGAAGTTGTGGAATTTATTTTAAAACAGGAAATCTCGTTTCATATAGTAAAAAGAAGAAGTTATTTCTTAACTTCTTTTGTTTATAACTTTTTAATGAGCGTCCGATGGCTAAAACTCCTCAAAGTCATTCAGGGCGATGATCTTGACAATATGTCAAGGTCAAGGTCATTGGAGGAGGGGGCTCCCCTAAAATACATAATTACCAAATTTTTTGTTTTAAATACAAAATACTTTTTAATACTATATACTTTCAATTTTTTTTTAATTATAAAATAGACACGAGCATCGCACAAAATCATTTTTTATAAAACAAATAATATTAATTTCAAATCAAAATTTATATAATTTTTAAATGACAGAAAACTAAAAGCTAATTTGCTTCGCTTATTGCTCTGTTCTCGAGCGGTTTGAGAAAAGTAACAATTATGTCCGCAACTAATATGTGTACTATCATGTTTATATATTTTATATATAATATAATGAATATATTGTACTTAGAGTATTTTATTTTGTTATACGCGTGCGAGTAAATTTTCAGAAATAATTACACGGACTATCCATTTGTAGATAAAATCTGATCCAGATAAAATAAATAAATGCAAACAAACATAAATATAGAAAAATAAAAATTGGAAAACTTGTTTCATTAAGTACAAATAATATCGACAGTATTCACATAAGAATAAATTGGCACTGAATTTTTCCACGTGCAAAAAAAAATTCAATATCAACTTCATGATGCGAAACAGGTATTCATAGTCTATTCTTACATTTAAGTTAAGTCAATCTTAATTTGCGCATGCGCACTTCATTTTGAGCAACAAAATCAGGAGAGTTGCGCTATTGTATATACTGTGACAATAATGTCTCGCGCTAAGAGCAGCGCGCTATATCGAGATTACTGTATATCTTTACACAAGCTATTAAAAATAATCAAATTTATTTGATTATTTTTAATAGAAAAGACCAGTTTTTTATCGGTTTTTTCCGAAAAATACCGGCTTTTACCACTGGCATTACCACTGACTTTATCTAAAAAAATGTGGACTTTTGCCAAGCCTGATTAGAAGAAAGTTAAAATGTTATGTACATTTAGTTGTAATTATAATTATTAGTTGTAATTGAATTTTGTAACAAAAAAATTAGAATTTAATTATTTGTATTAATTAATAAAGACCGAACTACCGATATACTGATAGACTGGAACAAAGTAACTGATTTAGAAGAATGATTGAGAATGATTTCGTATCAGTTCATGTATCGATCATGACTATGACAGTTATATCTCGTTACATCTTTTCTGTCAGCCCTAACGTTTCCGAACGGAACCAATAGATTTGTTTATGTTATTTTAAGGATTATTATCAAGGATTTTTTTTTTGGCATTACAAAATCAAATAACCTTTTTGAAATATAAAATATATTTTATTGTATTTAAAATATGTCCATTCTTGATAATATGTTATGTTTAACACGTAATGTTATATTTAATACGTACTCAAATCTGTTCTACGGCATTCTATATTGGGTAAAGTTTCTCTACGATCTCAAAGTGGGAATATAATAGTATCAATGATTGGTTTTGTCATTTTACTTCAAAGCCAATGAAAGTTTTTCACTGGTTGTGTACACGGTGCACTTTAAAACTGTTATACACAAATCGACTAAAGATGTATGTAAATATAGTAAAGATGTATATTAATAAAAATGTATATTAATAAAAATAGAAACGAATTAAACCACGAAATCCTCAATATATTTTATTTGATAAAATATTGGGTATTTTATTAATTGACGTATCTGGCTTTTACATTCAGATTGGGTTAGTGTACAACAGCTTTAATGTGCACTGAGTGCGCATCAGTTCTGCTAATAAAAAAACGCTATAAAAGTCACAATAAACAAATGCTATCTATCTTCAAAAATGAAAAGATTTGATATGAGAAGATTTTTTGAAGCGATGGCGTATCTTACATAAAAATTTGACATTTCGGATTTCGCATGATTTCTCTCGTCACGATATATCTCGGTTCGTAGGATACATAGAGATAAAATAAACATTTATTATTAATTCGGACCCAAGTTGTCGATTGAATTTATATTCAGAAGTTGATCAGTCCAGTCTTTATTGAAAAACTGATAATTTCGGACACACAATTTGCTGACAACTTGCTGACTCACGTAAAAACACAGAGCGGTCTTGCGCTGCGCGTCCACTTGGCGCAAAACACTACCATGTCTCTTGATCACATATACTACTGTGATCAAAAAGTATCTGAACTTTATTTTTTAAAAATTGCTGGAAAACTAAATCAAATTTATTTTGCTAAGTTAATACATATGTCTTTCACATTTGGTAAAAAAATCATGGCATTCAAGCCGTTTGAAAATGACAGTTGTTTATGTCAATGAAGATTTTTGTGCGCGGCGATTTTTATTGAGCAAAGAATTTGTTTGAAATTTTACGTTACGAATGAAATTTTGTTCACAAATACATTCAAAATGTTACAATTATCGCCATAAGCTTTTTGCATGCATTTGTAAATGAAATTTCGTTCATAACGCAGAATTTCAAACAAATTCTTTGCTTGTTTAGTTTTCGATAGTTTTCGATAAAAACAGAATTATGCACGTTATCTCAAGAAAGTAACCGTTACTTTTTGAAAAAAGTCGTTACCATTACTCGTTACTAATTTTAAAAAGTAACGCGTTATCGTTACCGTTACTTAAAAACTAATGATTTGCTATTTTTTCGTAATTTTTTTTGTAATGCTAAAGTAAGTTGTTAGATTTTAAAATTACATTAGCTGATAATTAATTTAATATTAAATGTGAAATCAATATTTAAACTCTCTACTAACTAGTTTGTATATAGAGCAAGTTTTTCTCTATATTAAATTTACCTACTATTATCTACTTACCTACTTTTACTAATTCTTTATTTTCTTAATCTTCAGTTAACCCACAAAGTTAGTGTAACTCCCCCCCCCTTTCATAATTTAGACGGTTTTTTCTAATTCCTTTTCACTTATTGCAAAATATCTTTTATGCTATGATATTTTAGACTTTCTAACTCAAAAATTCTTTTTTTTTTTTTTTTCAGTTTTCAAATGCGATAGAGTAAAAAAATTAGTTAAAATTGATGCACTACAATCTGAGATACAAGCAAAAGAAAACGCTGGGTTAGAAACACTCGGATGTGAGTAGATAGGGACTATTTTTTTGAGATATGAATACTGAGGGTTAATATTGTTATTTTAACATTCATTTTTATAAGAATTTAGATTAAACATTATTTTTAAATTTAATATTCCCTGGAAATAAATCGATGAAATCTTTATTAATAAACCTATTTCAGTGTAATTCATAATGAAATGAATCAATTGATAGAGATTTCAGCGACTTTCAGCGATTTCAGCGATTTATTTCCACTCCTACTATTGTGTATTACAATATTTATTGCCCGTACCAAAAATTTATTACAGTATAGGTATATATACAATATATAATGTGAATTATATATTTTCAACATTGGGGCAGTGCCTATTATTAAAACTATTAAAACACTACAGTATAAGATATTAATACAAAATATTGTTTAAAAAATTAAGAATAAATTTTAAAATAAAAAATAATAGGAAACTAAAATAACGGTAAAAGTAACGGTAAATTCGTTATTATAATGACGTTTCAAATAACGCATTATTTTCTAACTCTGGATAAAACTCGCCGCACACAAAAATCTTTACTGACATAAATAACTGTCATTTTCAAACAGCTTGAAAGAATGCTATGATTTTTTTATCAAATGTGAAGGAACTTGTTGTACATGTGTATCAACTTAGTAAAGCAAACGGATTTGACAGTTTTCTGCAATGCATTAATATGCTTTTTCATGCTTTCTCGTTTTTTCTCATGTTTTCTTCGATACACATGTAACTTCGGATGACTAGGCATGTATTCCTGTCACTGTGTGCACACAACGATATTAACGTTATTGTTGACACTTAAATGCAAATTTAATAATTTGCACTTAAGTCATGCCAGGAGATATGAGACAGCATACTAATTATTGTTTACTAATCGTTCATAGATTTCGAGCAATATTCAGTGAGACACATAAAATATAAAAAATATTTATGCTAAAATTCTATAGTATAAGCAACGTAGGAAAATCACCGATACCGACATACCTTGTTTTTAGACAATATTTCTTACAAAAGATAAAAATTTGTTAGATTTCTAACAAAAGATAAAAATAAAATAATATAATATAGGGCTATGAACTACTGAGGTTATTGCGTGAGTAAAAATACTTTTATAAACAATCTACAATTTTGTACAGACGTTTTGACTCTTATCGGATCATTTTCAATGTTCAATAATAAATTTAAAAAGTTACCGGTAACTACGCAAGATATTCAACAATTAAAATACGATGAGCGCATATTATACTCGCAGGTTGTGTAAAAAAGCGAGAGTTCTAATGCAGTCTAATACAGAATATATATACATTATAAATAAAGAAGACCTTTAGACATCTAATTAAATATACAGTCAACTACGAATGCTTTAAAGCATTTTTTGATTGATCAATTTTTTGTGTAAAGTTCTTTCTTCTGATTGGTTAAACGCTTCAAAGCATTTGTAATGAGACTTTGACTACAGCTTAAAACGAGAGAATCTCGATCATGGTTCGATTGGACCATTAATCACGGCTGAGTGTCTAGGGGCTTCTTAGTCTCAAGCACTATGAGTGGCTCATGTCCAATCAGGTGCTCATTAAAAGATTGTTATATGTAATTATTGTGATCTTGTTACAGGTACCCGGATATATGTACACTAAAGGATATAATTACAAATTGGGAGATAAAAATATTTTGTGGAAAAAGGATCCTATTTTTTATTTAACAACTCTAAGACCTACTGCACGCGATATAGATGTAGTAATTAAAGAAATGAAGAAACTCAAGATCGCGTCGTTGCAGTGAGAGCTAAAAAGTGATATATCTAGGAAAGAAATAGAGCTTGTAAATAACAATCCAATAAAAAAATTGCGTCAAATAGGGCTAGCAGTTCTTAATGAATTCACGATTGCTAAATCCACATCCGCCAGCGAAAGATGCTCATTACGTCAGATTTTTTAGATAAATTAAGTAATATGAGTAAAAAACAACGTTTTTTTATTATATTTACCATTTTTTTGTGTCCAAACGAAATTTTATTTTTCAATTTTATTAGCATCACTCTAAAGAGCGAATCTTCATTTTTAAAACGAATTTTTATTTTTTACTGTGCGATTTTTTTTTTCATCGAATTATGAACGTTTTCATTAAATTATTTAAGCATTAAAAATCTAGCTTCGAACGTTATAAGGCTTGAATATTCTTACTTAGTATTTATTTTTCAATTTCATTAACGCCACTTTAAAGAGCGAATCTTCACCTTTAAAAAAAATTTTGATTTTTTACTATGTGATTTTTTTTTCATTGAGTTATGAACGTTTTCTGAAATGTAAAATGATGGCTCCAAATCAGCGAATTAAATCTGGAAAGTAGACAAATTTGTATCAAAAAAATACCTTAAACTTTCCTTAGAAGTCGCTGATACAGAAAAACTTAAAATACAGAAATTTAAAATGGCAGATCCATTATGGAGAATCAAAATGCGAAAAATAACATTCGATTTGCCATATTAGATCCGCCATTTTGAATTTTTGTATTTAAAATTTTTCAGATTCGATGATCTCTAGAAAGCCTAAGATACTTTTTTTTATTTAAGCATTAAAGATCTAGCTTCGATCGTTATAGATTTGAATATTTTTATTTAATATTTATTTAATTACATTACACGGTCTTAATAAAATCACTTATTATTGAAAAATAAAATTTCATTGATCCACAAAAAAATATGGCGAAAATATAGTGGTTTTTGGCTTATATTACTCGATTTATCTCAAAAATCTAATGCGATGGACATCTTTCGCTGACCGATTTGGATTCAGCGACCTTGAATCTATTAAGAAATGTAGTTATGGTCGCCATAGAAAAAAAAGGTCAAATTTTATCGAACAGTGTAATAATTAAAGTAAAAATAAATTTTACTTCCATCCTTGGGAAATGTGCATTTTTTGTTTTTACTGAATTTTTTCTTTCATGTTATATTTTGTAATATTAAGCAATTTTATTATATTTTATAATAATAAAATATAAT